GAGAGACAGGTTATCTTTGTTGGACAGCATGCACCACAAGGCGCACTTTTTCTTTCTGTATAGTATGGTTTTGTTACAGATGAAGTGTATCAGTTTTGAAATATTCATTGTGAAGACGATGAGTGGATAGGCAGCAGCTTTTTTATATGTTATGGGCCTCCAGAACTGTGGAAAGGAAAATAAAATTAAAAAATATACAGATTATTACACTGTATTTGTTCCATTACGTACTCCACCCACCCCTCATCCCACCATTATTTCATCAATGTCGTTATTGTAGCTTAACCAATTATAAGTGATCAAAACATTTTGAGTCTCAAATACTTCGAGAAAGAAAACGAGCCTATTATTTCAATTGTATTAGCTTCGGAATCCATTCAGACATGACTTGTTGAGTATCTGATCTTTTATTTTTCATTGGAGCTGAAAACTCTAAGGATCAATACAATTAATACCCCCGATTTAATACTGACAATCAGTCTATTAATTTATCGTTTAATCTGAAGTAATGTAGCAACTATGGTTGTTATAAAGTTGCACGATACTGATAAGATTTCATTTAGTATGTAGGTCTACTCAAATGTATATACGCAACATGCATATAAAAATATGTTACAAAATTTAAAAAATATATACAAGACATTCGAACTGCAACAACTGAACACTGAAAAAGTCCTAAGATATGCCCAAAATGGACCTTCAACTCTAACTAAATATACGAATAACTGTGTTGAATAGAAGGGATAAATGTATGTCATATCCGTTTTTTGGCACGGATATTACCGAGTAATATTTTCATTTTAAAAAGCGAATTTTTTAGTCAAATTAAACATTTTTATGCTGCACATACGTAGCAAATGCGTATTTTGTACTATATTAATATCACACTTTTGTAAAATATATGTGGCCAGGGACCTTTAAAGAAATATAAAATGGTATGTTGTTGCTGTGTGACACTCTAAAATGCATGTCGAGGAAAATAGCAACTGGTCTAAATTACTTTTTTTTTTCCTTCTCTGCTCGTTAGTGATGAGCGCCAACCCAACGAGAGATGTATAAATTTGCATGTGTTAGATGGTTACAAAAAGTATCTCCTGAAAAAAAACAACTTTTTTACAAATGCGCCGATAGTTTGAGGAATTCAAAGAGGCTGAAATCTGGCAAAATTTGAGATTTTAATTGAACACGAGAAAAATTAAATATTAATTTCATATAGTTTAAGTGTATTATTTGTAAATATGTCGCAGTTAATATATGTTTTAAATGGAATAACCACAGCAAATTTTCTTGCAAGCAATTTATCGCTAATTTGGGGGCCAAACTCGGTCCTTATAATGCATTGTCCTTTAGGGTAGGATGCGAAAGCACATAAATGATTTATAATATATGAAAATGGATGTCTATATACAAAGTCTATATGTCGCAGAAAATGGACAGATAACTTAACTAAACGCCTTTGTTAGACAATTTTATAATAGAGTTTCATTTTAACCCAAATATAAGAAAATTAAAAAGAAGAAAAGCTATATATAATAATCTATTAATGTTTTTCAAACCAAATGTCGCAGTAATCACTGGTAGAGAACACGATACATGCAAACTTAAATCAAGGAGACAAAATGTTGATCACAGTACCCGGTATTTGTTGCGAATCTCCATGCATGCCAGCGTCACCATCATCTAGACCTATTTCAGTCACAAAGTGTGTTGCTCCTAAAAGATCACCGGTTGACTCAAGTCGATACCTTCTGCCGTTTAACATAAATGTGCCAATCTAAAACAAATATATGATTTCACGTTAGCAGGAACAATAATGAATGAAATGTTTTCTTTTTTCATATGACTTATACTGACAATCTTATGGAAAATATTCCTATAATGTTAAGCAATCATGAAATGAAGCACTCAAGTCTTGAATGACAAAAGAGTAAATATTTTGTGCTCACCTCCTCGATCCATATATAGATAATTCTTCTCTTCTACAAAAGAACATGCAAATCTTCCCTGTCATTAAGCTTTAGTATGAAATCTTAAAACCGTATAACTTTTCTTGGACTTTTAATCAGAAGTTATTATAGTCCATTCTTATAAATCACAATAGTTGTATCGTGTTTTGTAATCTTTTCTTCCATTCTGAGATTAAAATTACCGGTTGACATGTCGATCCCAGTTTGTCACATTTCACCATTACAGCGGATTTTGTCTTCGTATCCTGGTAGTAACCACACATCTGCAATATAAATATTTGTATCCGTTAACGCTATCGAATCCACTAATTTTGCTTTACCGCATCTTCTTCAAACCTAAGCCAAATATAACCACTCAATTACTGAATAGAACTATCTGGCAATAAGATCGTAAAATTCTGAGCTTGAGTTTCCAATTGAGCTCTGTAGCTATAAATCAATCAGACGTGACCTTTCTAAAATAAGCTCCGCTGTGACTGATTCAAACAAAGGAGGCCCTGCGTCCTTCCGAGGGGAAAGTAGACCAGACCGGGACTACAAGCTCCCCCCCCCCCGGAAGAAACGCGGCCCAGCCCAGGGCTAAGACAAAAGTGTCAGCACTAGACACAGGTGAGCCCGGCCCCGGAAGGGAGGGGGGAGGCCACTAGCCCTTTTCAGGGCTTATAGTCATAAAACACGAAAGTGTATACATGACTTTAATGCATAACAACAACAACATGATTCAAACAAAACCTCAAGCTAAATGGCAACCGCGACAGTTTGAGCTTCCTGGTATCGTTAATTGCAGCTGCAGAGCATAAACATATTAATCAGCACAATTTATAGAAGTGTCATTCATCGATCTACTACTGTACCCCTTTCTCATTTAAAACTGTCATTAAACCAATGCGGATTTTTTGGTAATACAAAAGAATGAATTATGCAGACAAAATACCAGCTGTAAGACCTACTCAAGAAATTTAAAGTCTATAGCATTATTGTCCCAATCAGCGACTTAATATTGTTCACTGAAGGTTTGAATTTCATTTTGCTGTGATAATAAATTATCACGTACCACCTCCTTAAATTAGACCACTTACTAAATCACCGTGTGAAAAATAAAAACAAGTAAATCCACTGCTACACTTCCCTTCTTACTGCATACAAAGATTCAGGTAGTGAAAATATAATCCTAATGCAAAGAAAAGCACTTCGAAATGTTTCCTTCCTTGAATAAGGGTAGTTACTCGCACAAGTATACCCACAGTAAGATTTACCTTTCTTAACCTTTTTGTGCTTTTGCAGTACCACTATTATAACACTTGCCTCAGAAGTAATATTTTCACTGCTTTGACGCTATAACGATAACTTGTCCATTCATTGACTGTAAGTTACATCATAAGATATGACCTTATCGCATTGCGACAGTGCTTGAACCGGAATTACCAGAACACATTTACTTTCAATACACGGCTCACACATTTGTTTAATTTGGCTGGCAACAACTCTGCTTTGGTTAGCATACCTTCTATCCCTTTTTGAATGTTCACTTCATTACCATGTTCTCGTTGTGTGCATTTGTGTTTTAGCATGGTAATGGAAATATTTGTATATTATCGTCCCACCGTATAAAAAAAAACCATTTGTAATTATTCCAACGTGCAAGTAGGCAAAATTTGAGATTTAGCAACACTACAGTTATGCAATTTATGACGTATATATTTATCATTAATGTTTCAATAATATGGCATATTTCAAAAGCATGAAAGTGTTTCAGTACCAGATAGTAGATTTTATATTGCTGTTGATAGGTGTGTTTCAGTATAAGGTTACAGTGCTATATTAATATTAGTTAGCATAATACTTAATGTTCCAGTCGTGTTCGCATTCCCTATAGAAAACATGGTGTTCGCATTATCTATAGAAAACATCGTGTTCGCATGCCCTATAGAAAACATCGTGCCATTTGAATTAATTGGACAATCAGAGCACCATTGACTGATTTAGCTCATGGCCTAGTATTTTCACTGTAAATTGCTATAAAGTAAGAATGACACATGGAACAGTAGTTTATCTTTTGAGGAAATATGCATGCTAATGACTTGACTCATGAAATCTCGCATTTATCCTTAAAGTAATTAAGCTTTGATAATTCTCTTATGAAAGTGTAGGTTGATTGAATTACAACAATTTTATTTTTAGTTTCCTTTCCCTCCCCACCATTTTATTTTCTTTGACATTAACTCACCTCTTCATGATGTTTAGGTATTTCCATTAGCTTTGTGACACCATTCTCAGTCACCTGTACACTCACATCATCCCTAATAAGGTTGCTCAGTTCAAGGTCAAGTTCAACTTCTTCTCCGTTTAGTCTAAATATAAACCGCTTCTTTGCTGGCATCCCAGTGCTTCTTATCGATCTGTGTCCTGGCTCCTCTACTGTCACCTCTCTTATCATTACTGCTGTATTAAAAATAATGATAATAATCATAAGCACTATTATCATCGTTATCACCACGACGACCATGATCAAGATTGTAATTGCTTCGACCTTGATGATGACTATGTTTTAGTGGTGGTGATTGCGATGTAATTTATTTAAACCAGTAGATAAAAGATTAACTGGGCTGAGACTGAACGGGGAATGCATAAAATATAACAGGAAGTTTACCTATTTAGTTACGAAGTTTTTTTCTGGTAGCGTATGTAAGTTACTTTTGCGTAATGCAAACAAGCACGCTTCCCTACATTCACACACTTTTGGAGAGGTAAAGGTAAGTTATCTTCTAAGCTGTATTATGTTGATAGGTGTGTGTGTGTGTGTGTGCTTTTGACTTTCAGCATACCGTTAAGAATTTTTCAGTCATATTGCTACAATGTCTGCAGTGTGGAAGTTTATAGTGAAGTCCAGCACTTGGGCATCATGCAGGCAGGCATTTAGCATGATGTCCCGCCCAGTCACATTATTCTGACACAAGGACGACCAATCCTAACACTAACCTCTTAATGCTGAGCGCCTAGCAAAGCATGTGCTAATATCATCTTTTATAAATCTGTTTTATGACTCGGCAGTGGTTCGAACCTGCGATCCCCAAATTCGAGGAGGACGCTCAAACCACTAAGCCATCGGAGTAACATGACAGGCAGCAAAAATGTCAAACTGTTACTTTTGGGGTAATCAGACATGTGTATGCAGCAATCAGACAAAGAATTCAATAATAATCTGCTTACATACATACATACATACATACATACATACATACATACATACATACATACATACATACATACATACATACATACATACATACATACATACATACATACATACATACATACATACATACATACATACATACATACATAAATGGACTGAAAGATATCTGGACAGAGAGATTAATAAATAAGTACCATGGATGAGGCTAGTCCCACATGAGCAATAGCTTACCAGCTGTCCTTAAATCTGTGTCCGTTTCCACAAGCGTCTTGGAGAATACTAAGGACTGTAAAGTAGCAACCAGCATCCAGGTCATGACCATCATGACGTACATCGACAAAGTCTATAAAAGAAAGAAATCAAAACATTAATTTTGTTTCTTTTCTTCTGATATTTATTCTCTAATTCAGGTATTACTGAGAGACTCTAAATAATACAAAAAATGCAATCAAACATCAGTCTTATTGTACACTTCCCATTTTTAATCTCATCGACAACAATGATTCAAGGCATACGCATTCATTTAAAGATGACTTTTAGAAGGAAAATGAGAAACACGTGTTATAATAAGTATTCAGTCCCTTGCTATGACAAGAAGAAATACAATACACCACAATAATTCATGCTAACGTCGTCAATTACATAACTATGAATCTTTAAATTAATGTAAATCTTGGTAAACGTTTTGTCCCAAATAGCTTCCACCATTGATACGTAGAAATCTTATATGAAACGTTATTCATTCAACAACCTTATGTAAAAAAGATGTTGAAATAAATAAAATAAAAGAGAATCCCGAATGTTGCGACCAAATATAGGGGCAATTTTAAAAAAAAAAGGATGAACAATTTGACATATGAATACCGCCTTCCTCCATTATGAGCTTAAGCTACAGAGGGAAAGGAAAATCAACATCAATATGAACAAATACTGGCATAATTCTAGAGAAGTAAACTGTTAAGAACGTTTGTTCAGATATTACCGCCTTTTTACGAAACATATTCCTTCTGATGGAATATAATAACTTACTTGATTTAGTGACACTGTAGAAATATCTTAAGTTTATTGGCTGAAATGTTACCATTATTTTATAAAATCTGTAATACTTTTTTAAATTTCATTATTCAAAAACATTAAAGTCGTACCTTATGCCTATTACTGAAAGAACTAAACACAAAACTTTGTATCCAAGTCATGCAAACTTAGCAGACAGTACATGACAATATTTTTAGGTAAACTAGCGAAACTTCAGATTATATTTTACACAAAATGACTGTCAATAAAATCGCATCCCATCAAATTTTTTGAATGAATCAATTGTAAATGAACAGAATCAAACAGAAGATACAAAGATAAAGAGTTATTGAAATCTTTTGAAATTATATCAAGATTCGTATATGTTGTATTATTTTAATATGCATGATATGTCAGATTAGTTCAATATTAGTGAAATATTGACGAAATTGGTGCTTATTGCTTTCTTTGCCAGTATTTGGTTTCGTATTTGTCTTAATTTATAATAGCCAAGCTTACTCTGACCTCTTCCCTGAGAGATATCGAGAGTTAATTTGGAATGGGAGCTAAGACAACGTTCATATAATTAGCCGATACAACGCGCCAAAAGCATATGCCTGTTCCTTTAACGAACCTTTAAACTTTTTTAGACTCTTCAGTTTACAGTGCAACCTAAATTAACATCTTGAAAATTCGAATACGAAACTATGCGATTTGGCAGACATGTGAATTAACAACACTGCAGTTCATAAAACAAAACCTTTCAAAATACTGGATATCTTGTTTAAAATTCGGGCTGATTAAAAGTTACAAAATTATGTTTTTTTATTTCGGAAAAAATAGCATTCTTTTCGGAACTGTACATATCTAACGACATTAATGGAATGTCCCAAGTCGAATAAAGGCGAGTTTGATCTGACAAAGAGATGTTAGGGCTGTGAAACTAAAATTCCTGTCACCGTTACAGTAAATAATAAACAATATGATATCATATTTATTACATTTCCATACATTCAAATTTTCCAATTATTTGTACTGCCTTGATGAACTTTAAAGCAAATTGGGATTTACATAACTTCGATTTTGTGCATCGAGTGGACGTCGATAAAAATATCTAACAAGTTCTAGTTCGCATGTGCGATACGGAACTATGGCTTGAACAGCCATATTGAACACCGGCAAAACTATGTACAATCAGCTACCTCTACATAACTGCAAATATCAAACGAGAGGTATGAAAGATTATACAAACATCGGGCTAAGACTATTGAGATTAGAGGCACTGAAGTATTTAGATTTGTGCAATGGAAATTATAAACGAACAGAGATATAAGAAAAAGAAAAATAAATGCAAGGAACCTACGAGGATTTTGCCACATAAACTAACTCAACTTGTGCGGAAAAGCGAATATATTTTTTCCGTGCCTTCGATTGATTTACCAGAAGTTCGCTGAACAGTGTGAGAATGGGATTTTTTTATACCGCAGCTCCCTAATATAATCATATCTTTCTTTCACAAATGACTTCGATTGCGCTTGCCAACGCCATGAGCGCACAAGAATTGCTCAGCTCAAACAAACGCTAGATCGCTCGACTTTCTTAAAGGGGTTAGATGTGGAACTAAGTGAAGCTTTCACATGGGTTCTAGTGGGCTACAATCACAGTAAAAATCCTCATTGGGGAAAAGTTATAGGCAGGGAGCTACATTGCTGTGAACTCGCATAGAGATCAGTAAACTCAGGTAACTATTAACTCTGTCAGTACTGCCTGCAAAGAAAGTACTTGTGTTAGATTCACTGGTATGTTGCTTCCATATCAGCGCACTAGGTCATCGGTGGTTTCCACATCAAACACTTCCTTATCGAACTTTGTCATTCTAAGTGTTTATTTTATATGGATTCGGGGTACATCTTTGTAATTTTGCTGAGCTATATTTGTGCGACCTTAAGAATCTTTTAACAGACGCGTACATGTAAATGCAGGATTTGGGATATTACTTGCCAGTACCACCCATTACACCGGTTACTATCGATATAGCTCCTACAGCCTGTCCGACTGGTTGCTGTTGATGGTTGCTGTAGTCACAATTCCAACAACAACAATGCCAACGGTGGTCGCAGTGGTGATTCAGCAAATAGTTTCTACGACCACGAAGACGCATTTGGATTTTAGGTTTCGTTTCAATTTCTTCTCGCATCTTTTGCTTTGTTTCAGTTGTTTTCTCAGGTAACATTGAGGGTACGACACAGTTCTATTAATACTGTCATTGTGAAACGCAAATGGTTGACCTTGTTCGGATGCAAAACGCTCACGCACTTCTCACCAATTAGCCATTTTTATTGATACAACTGCTACACAATTATAGAGAAAATCTACCTGATGAATTTGTGAGTCTCTAGCGATTGTAAATTCTTGGGGTCTGGTATCGTCTTCATAAGGAACCATACTAATTACGTGTATACTTAATGCAAGAAACGATTCTTTTTGTTACCCGGACGAGTAGGTCCTTGCTGGCTAACAGTCTGGACTTTCTTTCCGTAGTTGAAATGTCAATGTTGTTTTAACACAATCGACCGGGGGTATCCTTGAGATGAACTTAACTTGAATTACATTGTGTCCGCTCCATATTGCCAGATTTTCAATCATTAGATCGGTAAATCTTTGGTGGCAAGGAACATTGATATATTAAGAATACCTAAGGGACTTAGCTACCTTGCAAAATATGAAATTGTAAGGTTCTAGTTTCTTATAGGCTTTCTGCGGAATTTTTCAAGTTATTTTGGAAACATTTGGCTATGAAATAAATAACTCAACTTAGAAGGAAAGTGTAATTACTTGCAGTCCTATAGGTAATAACAACAAAAGGTGTTTTTAAAAATTGGAGACCAATCTCTTCGTAATACTACCTACAAAGTGGCCTCAGCATGTATTACAAAAAGGATTACAAAAATATTACTACAATTAATTAATTATTATCAGCTTGGTTTTATGGCTGTTAGATCTAATTTTGAAAATATAAGATCAATATACTATGTAATATTTTTACACTGAATAGATAACAAAGAAACTGGCCAACATATAGAACAGTTCCTACGGTTATTGGAAGAACGAATGCGCCGTCGCGGTCAAGGTTATCAGAGCGTGGCTGGATCATCAAGCACTGTTTCAGGTTTGCCTACTCAAGACAAAGAAAATTGCCCTTGGAAGGTATAACGTGAGGACCTCCAAACAAGACCATCAAACTTTCACCTTGTTTCTCCTGCATGATCTGGTACGCTTATACACATACAAAATACAAGCCGAATTTGCCGACAGCTACAAGGACCACCAACATATCATCGTATGTCGCAGTCGCATACAAAACTCAAATATGCACGTTCGTCGCTACCATGACTTCGACTTCTGCATGTGGATCGAGGAAAATATTTTTAGGAGTCTTTGTCGCGTTGTTGACGAATCATTTTGTGCATACTTAACGACCAAGTTGTGGAATGATGGAACCGTACACCTGTAGAATGATTCTTCGGGCACCATTGCGCGAAAAAAATTGTTCATGGATCGTGCTTCATTATCTTGTACGTGGGTGTCACGGCTTTGGTCAGTCATAACAGCTCTGAATAATGCAAATACAAGCATGATTGGGATAAAAGCCGCTGGTGCGATTCGACAAAAGACTGTGACAACCACAGTATGTTTGTTTATCTGTATGATCATGCTCTCCAGTGCAAAACAGCTATTGTAGGATAGCTCTATCTTATCTCACACTCAACTCCTATCTGGGACTCAACGACCATATGGACCATTTTCTGTAAGCATTCTATGCAAAGGTAACAACAACGTTCCGATTTTCGATCAGAAAGATAAAACGTAATTGCAAGGCAGTTTCGTACTTAAACGAAGAGTGG